AAGAGATTCTGGCAGAACCACTCATAAAATACTAATAATATTATTTATTTATTTCTACATAGTAAGCATTACGCCCTTTACATTATCTGATTTAACATTTTTACCCTCCCTAAGAAATTGGTATTCACGCTTAAAGATAAATAAACTAAGTGTAGAGATGTTAACCAGGTAACTTGTTCAAGGGTACAGTGCATTAAGGAGAAGAGCTGGGATTTGAACCTAGGACTTTCTGATGCCCAAATCTGGGCTCTTGAACCAGATATCTGGGAGGACTACAGATTGAGCTGTAGAGTCCCAGGTTGGACAGAGAAGTTGGCAAGGGGTGGAGGGGGCAGGCGTTTCTTAGTTGTACTCAGGAGAGGATGGCAGGGATACTCCCACTTTTTGGCCTGACCCTGTGAACCTGGACAGAGCCCCAGAGACTCAGATTATGACCAGCCTGGTCACCACCTGCCCCATCTTACTTCTTCCCTGGAAAGCTGACACTTCAGGTTGCCCACCAGCCACCAGGCAAGTAACCAGTGGCATCTGGAAAAGGTGTCCCTGAGGAATATCTGAGAGAGAGAGAGAGAGAGAGAGAGAGAGAGAGAGAGAGAGAGAGTTTGTGTTAGGAGAACAGAGCTATTCTGTACTGAGGCTCATATGTGGCCCACTAATAATAAGCTCTGCCAGGGCTTGTAAGTTTATTAGGAGAACCCGGTGTAATTAAAATTCAGGGCTGGGGGGAGGGGAGCAGAGGGCTTTTGCTTCCTTTCCTTCTTTCAGAGATCCAGCCTGAGCTACCAATGGGGATAATTAGCAGAGTCCAAACAGAGAAGGAATTAATGCTCCTGAAAAAGCTGTGATGAGGAGAGACAATGCCAAGCTAATTACGGCCGCACCAAGCTTTATGACTGGGCGCTCGCTTCCACCATCATTAGGGGATTCAGAGCTAAATTGGAGACGAATGTGGAGTGTTATAGCTAACAGAGCATTGGCACTAATTTAGCAATTACTAATATTATTATTTTGGCGGATGGTAACTGTACCTTTCTGCCTGAGGGGTCAGGGCATGTGGGCCTTCTGAATGTGGGATCAAGGCTGGAGTGATGGAGGTTGGGGGCAGACAGTCAGAAATTCTTTTCCCTCTATGCTCCTCTCCCTGTTTGTACCTGCAACTAGTGAGAGGAGGGGTCTGCCTGGGTCCTCGGGGAGCAAGAAAGAGTTCAGTGCTCCTAGAAGAAAGAAGGGAGGGATGAGGTTGTGTCATTATACTTGGAGTGCCCAGATTCGGATGCCCCTATTTATTTCTACTTTCAGAGACTCCTCTGATTTCAGTTCCTAAGTGTGACTCTGTCCTTACAGGCTTCCTTTCCTAAGCAAGACTAGAAAGGATGCCACCTAGTTTAGTCGGGACTTAGTCTTAGCATGCTTTCCCTACTCCAGATAACCCTATACAGACCATAAAGAAACCTGGCTTGATCCAGATGCCTCAATGCCACTCCTCACTATTTGCAGCCACATGTTATATCCCTAACTCTGTGGACAGGGAAGATAAGCTTCAGACAGTTAGAAGAGAACATGTCTTTTGTACAGAGCTTAGAGGGATGACACCTACTGAAACCACCATCCCTACTTGACGTTCTCATCAAAGTCAGAGAGAGAAGAGAACTTCTAGAACTGTAAATCTAAGGGCTCTACAACTCCTAGATACTGGACCCTGCTTCCAGAACTCTAAAGCTCAAAACACACTAATAAGAATATCATCTCCTTGGGTTCTAAAAGATTGTGCATTGTACCTTTCCTCAAAAACGGCAAAATCTGCAGAATTCCATCCTTCCAGTGAGAAGGACAAACATCACATAAATCTCATGGCCACAAGAAAACTGGAGTTAACCACTCCCAGCTGCCAGCCTAAGAAAAGCAGGGAAGCTTGAGGTCTACTGTCAGGTTTCTGCATTTTCTGAAGCACTTCTGGACCTCTGCTTGCTACCTTAAGTACAGAACCCATGCTAACCATACCTAAACCTCTGCAACTTGGCTTATGGAAAAAGTTCATTCATTTCCACAAGGCAAATGACACAATGAAAGGTGGAGAACTGCTTGTTAGTTCACTTGGGATGTATTAAGGAGAATAGCAGGGCTGTGGCTCCAGAGTTTTTAAAGAAAAAGGGAAAAATTGCTTTTAGTTGGAACAGTTTGTGTACAGGTGTTTCCAAGTCAGGGTCTGATTAACTGAGACTTCCTGTGCAATTCCTAGCACAGACTCTGGCCTATAGAGGAGTCTCAGCAAATGACAGTGGAGTCTGAATCTCAATTGTCGAATCCCGGGGTGTTACTAGAAATCTGTAAGCTAGAGACTTATAACAGGAGAAAGTCAAGGAAAAACATAAAATGGTAAAGAGAGCTGGGCATGCTCTAGCCACTTGCATTTTTCATAAAACTACAACAAATGAAAAACTCTAGCATTCTGCTGGCTGGAGAATCTGGACCCAGGTAGTGGCTCTGGGATGCAGGGAGCAGGCTGGGAGGTGGAACAGTTGGGGCCTGGTCCTGAACTCCATGGCATCTCCCCAGACCCTCTGGTCACCTAAATTCTCAAGATCCCAAGGCCACTCTCAACCACTATCTTTCTCTTGCTATGATCAAAGGGTCTGCTCCTGCCTCCCCACATCCCTTTCAGCCTCCCAACTTGGACCCTGGGCTTCCCAGGACTTGTGACTCAGCAGCCAAAGTTAAAGTTTTCCTGAGCTAACTCGAACTCATCTTCTGATACAGCCTGCAGGGAAGGCATAGTAATTCATCTGGGCCTGCTGACTCTCACCCCTCAGGCTTTTCTCACCCTCAGCCTGGCCATCCAGGCACCTGTCATTCCAGATGATGGGTATCCCTCTGGAGTCAGAACACCAGTGCCTCCTCCTACCAAGATGTGCTGCATACATACAGCCCTGCCCCACTGCCAGCAACTTCCACCCTCACCCCTGGCATTTCTGCTCTGTACAGACAGGAGAGGCAGCTTCCATCCCAGGTGGAACTCCACAGGTATGTTCTGGCCCTGTAGGCTCTGAGGGTCAGGACCAGCATTAAGGCCCCGCTGGAGATGGATCCTTGGTGGAAAAGATGGAAGGGAGCTGGGGAGTAGGGAGAGGCAGGAAGAGACTCCCTGATAGGGAAAATTCTGTGTCTGGTGGGTATGGGGAAATGGGTGGTGTGGGAGGGGATGGCACCAGAGAACCAGAGTCTTATAATAATAACTTGTTAGGCCTAATGTGTTCTGCGAATCTCCAAGGCAGGGAATCAACTTCCCCAACCTCCATCTCCGTACTGTACTACCCTCTAAAAGTTCTTCTTTATGTCTAACCTCAGTCCCTTCTGCTGCAGTGATCAAGCCATTGACTACACATTGCCACAACTAGGGAGAGCAGCGCCTCCTACGACCCTCACGGGGCTCAGGTGGGCTCCAGTCACCCCAAGGCTGGATACAGCCCCCTCACACACCCAAGGCTCCCCTTGGCCTGCTGCCCCCTCCCCTGAACTGTTCCTCACGGGTATCTACCTCTATATACGACCTTTAACCTCAAGTGAAAGGACCCTGGGACCTGCAGCCGCTGGGGAGTTTACCCCACCTGTACCTGCTCCTGGAACCGCCGGTCCCTGGCATCTCGTCCCTGGAGCAGGGCGTGGGGACCAAATTCCCGCCTCTGGCAGCCCCTTTCTCCCCTTCCCGCGCCAGCGATGCGGAGCCACTGGGCAACCCCCCAGTACTCCTAGGCCCAGCCCTACTGGAGTCGGGGTCGGGGAACAAGGAGGAATGGAGCCCGCAGAGCCTCCTGGAACCCCGGCGCCCTGGTCCTTGCAGGATCTCCCCACCCCCACTCCGCATTCTCTCCAGGCCTCTCACCCCCCCAGCCCCTCCCCCAGGGAGGGGACGCGACCCGTACTCCCTCCCGCCCGGGACCCTCCAGACGTCGGGACAAAGAAACCCCGCGGCAGCCGGCGAGCGTGACTGCAGGGCACTGGTGCAGCAGGTAAATACCCGGGGCCGGCCGCCACGCCGCCGACCCTCCCGCAGCTCCCGCCGCCAGGGCGCGACACGCCATTCCCGCTGTCGCGACTCCCCGGAGACACCGCAGCTGCGCGCCGGGGTCCAGCCCGGCGGGGATCGGGCTCGGGACTCACCCGCTCCGGCGAGCTCGACTCGGCTCGGGCTCCCGCCTCGGCTAGGCGGCCGCCTGGGGCTGCGTCCGGCGCAGGGTCCGCGCTGCTTGGGCAGGAGGCGCCCTCTTGGCAAAGTCGGCGAAAGGCGCCCGCTCAGTCGCGCACCCGCCCCGAGTCCGAGTCCGAGAGGGACGGAGGGAGCGAGTTATAGGGGCGAGGGGGGTGGGGGAAGGACGCCGCAACACCCTCATACCCTCCCCCACCCCGCCCCCCGTCCCCCGCCCCCCAGCGGAGACGCGGAAAACCACTCGCAGCTGGAGAGACACCCGGACACAAAGACCTCGTGCCAGCCGCAGACCCAAGTTTCTCCCGGAGAGACTGGGGGTCCGCCCGCGTTCACCGCGAGAACATGCACACGGACGGACAGACCGACGCACGGACCCCCGGACCTCGACACTTGCTAGGAGGCGAGCTCTCTTCCTTAGCCGGGCGCCCCTCGTCTCCCGCTCTCCATGGACCCCTCTCCTGGCAGATTGCCCGCAGAGCGAGCTTGGAGATGCGAGGGAAACTGAAGCCCCGAGGGTGCCCGGTCCTGGGAGCCTGGCTGTCTGCGGGGTCCCCCGCAGTCCGCAGTAGTAATACGGGAGGGCCAGGGGGGTTCTACCCCCACTCCCGGTCCCCTTCGGGTCTGTCCTGGCTGTACAAGCGATGGGTCGGGGGGCTGGACGAGGCTGGCTCCCAATCCAGAATCCCTAGCTGGAGAGTTCTCTCTAGGTTCTGGGGCTCCTGGGACCGGGACTTTGGGGAAGGGAGACCTCAGGACGGATATCCAGGAAGGGAAGGGGCCCTGGGTCTCCCGTTACCTGCGCCTGCCGCGCTGGGACTCCGTTCTGGGGGCTGCAGCTCGAAGCTCCGACAAGTCTCCACGTCCAGCCCGAGAGGGGGCGGCCGGGCTCGGCACAGCGAGGTGAGGACCGCGAGCGCCTCCTGGCACCGAGGCCCGCCGGCCCCCCACACCCCGCTCATGCCCCAGACACCCAGGCCTGCCGAGCAGCAGCTCGAACCCGCGCCGCGGCCGGACTGGGGCGGGGCACGACGGCCCCAAGAAGACCCTCCCTGCAGCGGCCCCCTGCGGCTCCGCTCTGCTTTTAATCACTTCCCCACAGGGTCCCCGCCCCTCACGTGGCATCCCGCGGCAGCTGGCAAGTCTGGCGCCTCGCGGCCGCCCCCTCTACACTCAGGGACTGGTCTGAGTCCGGGTAGTAGGGGGTTCGAGGCGGGGAGCCGGGCTGTCCCGAATCTCAGAGGCTGCAAGGCCAGGAAGGAGTCCGGGTTCCCGCTCCGCATTCACTGTCTGGTGTGACCTTGGGCGTCTCTGAGCCTCAATTTTCCTCTCCGTAAAGGTGGTGTAATGATTTTAAGTACTTCACGGGCTCCCTGGGGACAGAAAGATCGTGTTTGTGAAAACACTGGGGAAACTGCCACATGCCGCACGAATGACAGGGAAATAGATAACCCCGTAACAGAAAGAGCGACGGTCAGGCTGGGTCTGGGGGGACCTTGGCAGAGGTTCCTGACGGGAGAAGTTAGACTGGTCCCCGAGTCCCAGCTTCGGAGGTAGAAGACCCCAAGACAGGCGGGCGATGCGAACTGCAAGACTTTCCGAGCTCCGCAATCCTGCGGTCAGCGGTACCCGCATGTTGCTATGGCGACGGGAGGCAGCGGCGGTCTCTCTCCATGGCAACGGGAGGGGAAAGTTTCTGGCGAATGGGAATGGGGGGCCATTTCAAGAGGGCGTAGGGCGCTCAGTTCCGCCGACCCACTTCCCTGCTTCTGTGAAATAGCCCCAGAGATCATGTATCTTTCTGCCAAACATAACAAGAAAGACAGAAAGCTAAACGGGAGGATTGAGGCTAGACTTAAAGCAGAGATCCCCTCAGAAACTGTGGAGTGAGGCCCAGGAACAGATTGGCTGAGGGGCTTCGAGGCTCCTCACTCAGCGCTGGAAGTCTATGAGCCATGGTCAGGGAGGCCGGGGGACCAGCGCCCTGCTGGGGGGCCTATCACGGGAGTCTCTTGATCTCCACCTGTCGGCGGTGGGGCCCCTTCTGTGAGGGGCTCGCCTGAAGCCCCAGACTCCGGTCCATTTGCTCTCCCGGGGCTGGGAAGGAAACTTTAGCTGAAGCCCCTGGAAACCGCTGGGTTGGTGTATGCCCGAGTGGCTGACGAGGGAAGAGGGTCTTGCCTTTTCATTAACACGCTTGTAGGAAGTGACTCGAGCAGTGACTCACGTTCCGGAGGGAGGAGATTCGGAGCCCTAGCTACTGGCGGTCTCCACTGCGCGCCATCTGTGCCAGCCGGCCCTTAGACTTGCTATCCTCTAGCAGCTAGTGCCTTGGGCACCAAGGGCTAAGGCGAGGCCTGTGAGGACCCTGGCCCAGCCAGGCGGCTTTTCCACCTTGAGGCGCTCCCTGGCTCTGTCCACGGTGCTGAAGACCCAGTTGGTGCTACCATAGCGTGGGCCTAGGTTTAGGGGACAAGGGAGAGGCAATTGTGGAAGGTTCGCAGCTTCCACCTTGACCCCTGTGCCTGTGATAGGAGAAGGTTAGGAACTCAGGCAGGGACCAGGCAGACACGACGCAGGCGATACTGTGCAATCCGGGCTGCCTTCCTGCTGGAGGTGTTTGGTTGCTGTTCCAAGAACAAGTGGGACTCTGGCATCCCCATTCGCCTTCCTGATGCTTCTGAAAACCCACCTGAGGAGCCCAGAGGCCCCATTAACTTATTTTCCATCACCCGATGCAGATCTCAGCACCCAGGAGAGCCTCTGGCTACATGCTTATTAGCAGTTCCCCAAGTGGCAGGTTTGTGTTTATGTAAAATACAAATGGAGAACTGCTCTTTGCCCGTGTTTATGGCAACTCTGTCACTCCGCTGCTATTTCTCCCTCCCCCTCGCGAGTTCCTGGGGAAATTCACAGAACAAAGCGCCTTGTTTTGCCTTTGCAGGGAATGAAAAAATACAGGACCGTTCCAAGGGCCCAGACCTGTGATGCAGGGAAATCAATATTTTGCTTATATCGAGTGGGGGAATTTGCATCTAAACCGAAGGTAAAGGAGCTCGTTTGGAGCAGAGCAGGTGGCGGGAGCCAAGAATTAACAGATAATTTCTCATTGTTCCCGGATTCAGCCTTCACACTCGGCAGGCGGTTCTGCAGCGTCTCTGGCGCCCCGGCAGCAGCTCTGGACCTGGCATTTCTCAATCTAACACTGTGAAGGAGCTGCTGCCCTGACAGGGCTGCAGAAACAGGTTAGGGCCCCGGGTCAGTCATTAGCTACTGAAGTTGAAGTGTAGAAGTTAGGGTGTGTGAGAGAGACAAAGAGAAAGAAACAGAGACAGAGATAGAGGCAAGAGACAGATAAAAATGAGAGAGACAGAGGATGAGATAGAGATACAGAGAGACAGTTATAAGAGATAGAGAACAGAGAAACAGACAGAGAGACAGCTGTACAGATAAAGAAACACACATTCAGAAGGAGACATTTAAAAAGTATTTTTAACATTAAAATAAAGCCTCACCCCAGTTGTCCTCTTTAGCCTGCCACCTCCCCCTGCCCCCAGGTCAATTGCTGGTACCATTGTGGTCACATAGCCACAAAGCAGAAAAAATTCTTCATGTAATGATGGAAACTTTTTTGTCTCTCAAACCCCTTTGCCCTGCAAACCCAACCCCAAAACACACTTTTGCTTCTTCCTATATGAAGAGATCAAATTCAGAGTCCCAGGGTCCCACCAAGACCTGGGAGGGAGGATCCGGGGTCCCACTCAAACCCCGAGAGGGAAAGAGGTGGAAAGAAGTAGAATTGTTGCCCTTCAATTCTATCTCGCAGAGAAACCCCATTCATTCTGAGTTTGGGTGTAGGGGTGGGGAGAAGAGAAGCAGGAACAGAGATAGTAAGCATGGAGTGGTGGCAAATAAGTACATTGGACAGGGCCTGGGATGGCTGGGATTCAGGATTGGTGCACCAAAGCAGCCATGAGGCTGTCATATCCTCTATCTGGGGCTTAGTGTGCCTATCTGAAGTTGGATTAGGAGCTCTTTGAGGCTCCCTCCGGCAACAGCACTCTAGGATTTTACATGAGGGAGAAGGGAGGAGGCTGGGGTGAGGGAAGGAGGGAGGCAGCCTTTCCTGGCTCTGAAGCTGAGGGTGGTTTTACAGAGGCCAACTCACTTTCAGCTCCCCCTCCCCCATTCTTCTCATTGCATCTACAGCCATGGATGGAGCATCCTGAGTTTGGGTACACCCCAGGCCAGACTGCTCAGATGCAGGAAAAGGAGCTGGGGTGGATGGGAGGCAGAATAAGAGGAGGTTTGAGACAGAAATCAGAGGGGTCCCACTCCTATGCCCTCCTCTCTTCGGAAATAGCCAATGTGCCCATCCCCCCCCAACTTAAGTCTCTGCCCTTGGGCAGGCTCCCACTCTGCTCTGAGCAGGAATGTCTTGTTGAGTTATGTTGCAAATAAAATAAATTAAAACCAAATAATAATTTCTTTCAAAAAATTGAACCTTGGTAGGAAATTGCTAATGCTGTAGGCGGAAAGAATGAGCTCCTTTGACATGAGCCGATGTGTCATATTGTCTTTTCATCTCAATGCAATTTCTAAATAGGGAGCCCTTTCCCCATTCCCTCCTCCCTCCAAGTCCCCAGCAGAAATGTAAAGGGAGCAGTCTGACGATTGAAGCTGGATTGCCTGACGTGCAGGGAGAGACACGGAGGAATAGACACACAAGCACACCTACAGCTTTGCCATGTGGACAGACGCCAAGGAGGCTCTGACCCAACCCTGAGGGCCCCTGGTCTCTTCTCCCCCACCTCCCCCGTCCTCTGCTTACTGAGGCTTGTAGCTGCCTTCTGAAGAAGTGTTAATTTACTCAAGGAAACAGGCATCAGTTGAACTTAATCTACTGCCAATGGAGAATCAAGTTGAGGTCCTGTATTTGAGGGTGTAACTTTATATCATTATTTGGAATAAACTGTACTATGGATTCCCTATGGGGTTTCAGCTAGAACAGCTTTATCAGTATTTCCTACAGATTCCACTCTCTCCCCAAGACCCCATACCAAGATAGCAAATCTAGCCAAAGCTGGGTGACTTCTGCAAATCATGCTGTTCCAAGCCATCATCAGAGTTTTCAGGGATTCCTCCTTACCTGAGAAGATGCAGAAGACATTGCAGAGCTCAGGGTCAATGCCTAGGTGCTTTTTGAAAGAGTCCATTCTTGCTTTTATTCCAAGAAATCTGCTTGGCAGTTCAAACATCCTGAACCAGGGTATATTTGCCTCTCTCCCATTCCTCCCCCATTTCAGTGGTCTCATCTCTGTCCTGTGCTCTCTGTTCAAGCACACAATGTTCCACATCAGACTTGGGAAGACTGGACAATGTTTTCTGCATCCAGCCTGGCTTTGTGGACAAAAGCAGGCTGGAGTTTGGGGAAACAGAGACAGGTTGAAGGTCAGAAGGCAGTATCATCCTTCAAACAACTTTAGAGCTAGGCCTAACCATGGTGGGTTGGGGTCTGTCTTCATTATTGAGAAGTGAAGATGATGTCAGAGGGGAAGGGCTAGGAAGGGAGCCAAATAGTCCTCTTCTCACTGACCTTGTACAGAAGAAACAGCACGGGCTTTGGAGTTGGACAGATCTGCGTTCAAATCCTGGGTCTGTTATTTACCAACTGGCTTGCTTTAGGTCCTGTACTTTAGCTCTCTGAACTTCAGCTTCCTCATTTGTAAAATGGGACATATAGGGCCTGCTTCACAGTGTACAAGGAAAGGATTACATGAGTTGGGTTAAATGGTGAAGGTACTGTGACTGATCTGTGGCAAGTGTTAAACAAAAGACGGTTCCTGTCCCCTTCCTTCCTTTTTTCAGAATGTAGAGGAAAATTTAGCAGGTGTACTATTCGGAGGTTAACCTGTATTCTTCCATGGGGCAAGTCTCTGCAAATTTTCCAGAAGGAATTTATCTCATTTAATTCTTACAAAAACACTGAGAGGCAGAATGGGTGGATCCTAATGGTCCATCTAGTAGAGGAGATTAAGTGCCTAGTTCCTAGTC